TATGGAAGTGAAACATAAGCAAAATTGGGTTCTAATGTTTTTTTTTGTTTTTAATATATAGAGGATATTTCGACAAAATAATAAATAGTGTAGTCTCATTGTTATTAATTTAATAGAATTTTTACGATAACTAGATACACATATGTTCTGAGAACGGGCTTTTCCGAGTAGGGCTTGGACCTATTAAATCGAATCACTAAGAGCAAAACCGGGCCCATAAATGTCCGCAATTGTGTAGACCGTTCCGGTCCGCTCCAATCCGGGAACGACACGTATGTTGTTAGTGAAGCGACCCAAAAGAAAAAAAAAAAAGGCTTCATTCACAATCTCTCCTCGTTGTTCTTCAGATCGAAGCGAAGAGATCTCTGTAGCAAAAAAATGGTAAATCCAGATCTGTCAAAGTATTTTCGATCACCGCAAATTTGATTGCTGTTTGCTTACGATTTCCGTTTTTGTTTGGTCTGTTTGTGCTTTTTTTTTCCCGGTGAGAAGGCGGCGAAACCGATTGCGAGTCCGATTCCGGTGTTGATGTACCCGACCTTGTCAGTTTTCACACTAGCAATTGGTCTCGTCATTACCGCTATCTTCTTCATGTAAGCTATAACTAGATCTGATTTCTAGATCCCCGATTGATGTTATGTCTTCCCCTTCTAGTTTTCAATTTAGAGTTGCTTGATTTTCAGTTTGTTGTCGTTTGATTTGATATGCTTATGATTCATCTTGATTTTATCAAAGCTCGACTAGATTTGCGAATTTCTTACTATAGCAATTGTTAGTAGCTTATATATGGTTAATGGTCACAATGCATTCTCAGTTACTAGTCTCTGTGTAGGCTTTGAAGCTACATTCTACAAGTTCATCAGCTTCGTGATCTCTTTGTTTAGATAAAATTTATCCCTCTCAAAACGATTTTGTCGAAATAATTGGCTTCTTATATACTAAAGATTCTTGCTTGGAAAAATCAGGCAACTTTGTAGCTTTTGGTTTGTGTTAGTTCTATCATGATGTATAGACTCAAACATATCTATTAGTAAGGGGATACTTTGTAGAATCAGTACCTTATAGCTTCACTGAATGTGTAACATAATCATCATTGATTTAGTTGAGACACAAGTGACTAGATTGTATATGTCTCATATACGCAAGGAGCTTCAATTTTTTTCCAAGGATCGCAAGTTCTAGGAGATAGGATTCGATTTTGTTAAAGTAACTTGTCGGCTGGGATACGACGATGTGGGTTAGTCTCAAGTAAAATAACTTTAAGATAGACTTGAACCATTTATATTAGATTCTTCGTAGTCCGGTCATATCAGAGACCCTTTCTGGTGAAGATTCTGCCCAACAAGGAGTAATCAAAGTGTTTTTTTTTTTTTTTTAACTTACCCTGTCAGAACATCTTTGTTGCAGCTATGAAGCTACATCATCCAGGAAAAACTGTAGCCTCGGGAAAGAGCTTGCTACTGCAACGGTAGCA